GCTCGCGCCTGTCAGGGCGAGCGGGGCCTCCCCCTACCGCCAGCCACCCGTCTGCCCGACAGGCAGGAAGGCAGACAGGAAGAGCCGGCCAACGGACACCCTCCGCCGCGCCGGCCCCAGGTTACCATCAGGAGCCCGGACTCCGCCATCCTCGCTCGCCTCCTTCCTCCTCCTCCTCTTCTTTGGGAGCGACGCTGCCCAACCGCCGCCCCCCGTCCGCCCCTCCCCCACTCGCCCCGCCCCTCCACACACTCTCGCTCAACTGCCCCGCCCCACCCCTCCGGCGCGGGCTGGTCACTCGCTGGGAAAGAAAACTAGGCGGAGCCGGACCTAGCGAAATTGCCCAATCACAGTGAGGCACTGGCGCCAGCTTCCCTCTCTTCGCCCTCTTCCTCCCCTCCGAAGCTCTACGCGGTCTCCCGCCCACTGGGCGCCGCTGGTTTGCCGGGCCACTGAGTGAGCCTCCGGCGGAGTAGAGCGACGACTCCCAATCCGAAGTTAACAGTTGAAGCTAAGGCAGCCATAACTGATAGTGGCAGCAAAAGTTTCCCGGCTTCCGGTTTCGTGTGACGTAGGTTTTTCCTTCGCCCAAATCTCACCGTTACCCTGGGCAACGGCGGAGCGGACCGGGAAGGGACTCTTCTGTTCGTAGGCCCCAGGTGGGACCACAGGTGACCAGCTATCCCATATTGGGGAAATTAATTCATACTCAGGGCTACAGGTTTGTTTTCCTGGCCATTATTTTGCCGAGAAGACTGGTCACTTACCTAGGTGGACAACAGTTTCGGGCTCCAAAACTCCCTCTCCTGTCCGGAAGTTGCATTTGGCACTTCCGAATAGGGTCACGCAGGGGGATGAGGATAGTCGCCGCCGCCCGCGCCCCGGGTGGAGCCTGTTCTCGACCCGAGCCGCAGCGTGAGGTGAGTGTGCCTAGGGCCCCCGGCGCGGGCCGGCCGCGGGCTGCACGGTCCCTGGGGCACCGAGCTCTCCGGAGGTGCGCCGGCCTCCAGGCCGCTTCCGCTGCAAGGAGGTTTTCTTTCCGGCCGGCCGGGCGCTGGCCCGCCTCCCTCCGCCCCTCCGAGGCTCCCTGTGGGGCGAGGCCGCTCGACGGGCTGCCCTAGGCCCGCTGGAGCCGGCGGGGCCGGGAGGGCGCTAACGGGTGGGAGCGCGCCGCGGGGCGGCTCCCTGACTCCTGCAAAATGGAGCTCTGACGCGCCTCTGCGAGTTCCGATGAAGTACGGTGCTTTCACTCCCTGACTTGTGGAGAACTCAAGAGTCTGAGGAAATCATTTTTCACCTCTAACTATAAAAGATGACCCCCCCACCTCCGCTGCAAGACCGCAAGTCTTATTTTCCCATCGCCTGTCTGCGCCTGATTTTTCTACCTTTTTCTGGTCTGTCCTTTCTTGGATCTTTCTAAATCTTGAAGTTCTGGGTAAGGATATACTGTCCTAATTCTAAGTGCCTGCGGTTTATTAAACAAATTAATGTTTGAGCCTATTCGTAAAAGACCGTATTTTATATACATTTGCCAAGATTATGACATCATCTCATTATCTCGTGTAGTTCTTTCTGAAAGTTTGAGTCAAGAACTTTTAGTCATCTTGATAATACCAGATTGGATGCCTAAAACTAAAAAAAAAAAAAGAGAGAGAGAGTAGAACTTTCAGGTAAATTTAAAAATTGACTATATGATACCTACCCAGCTAACAAGAGTGCAAATTTTACCCTCGCTACCTAATTTCTTTATAATTCCTTAGTACTTGTAATCCAGCAAAAATGAACAGGTACTCATTTGTCCTGAGGTTCATCACTTAGTTTGTAGTAACGGTAACTTTTTGTGAGTTAGTATCCATGATTCTGGTATCACTGGAGATGTTTCCAGATTTCCCCCTTCAGGAAGTAGTTCCCTCCAAGCTTATCTAGCTCTTCTTGTATCTCTTTTTATGACAATCACTTTTTATTCGGCTGCTGCTTGTTTTTATCTTCACTACTATATCTATGCCTAAGTAGAATGCTTTGTATCAGACTCAGTTGCCTGTGATTTCAATCTGTATAGGATAGTACTTTGGTAAATATTTAACTGATTGAATGTACGGGGTGTTACCTGGATGCCTAAGACACTGCCAGCCAATTTTTATGGAGCTTCAGTTTATCTGAAATTTACTATAGTCCTGCTACTCAACTTTTTCTTAGATTTCCCTTTTGAATTTTTGACACGATTTTTCCACGAATGTTTTATCATTAAAATCTTCATACATTAAAAAGCCAAAAGAATACAGCATTCTTATACCTTAATCCTATATCCAACAATTGTTAAAACATTTTTTAACATTTATTTCATCTCTCTACATTTTTATTGTCACTGAAGCATTTGGAAATAGGTTACAGACAGTACTAGGCAGACGCCTCTAAGACTTCTAACATGAATTTCCTAAGAATTTTGAAGCAGTTCTGCAAAACACAATACTATTGTTACAGCTTAGAAAATGAATAATTCTGTAATACTTAAAACACAGTCCTTGTACAGATTTTCCTAAGTGACTCAAGAATATCTTTTATATCCTCTCCCAGTCCTATACACCCCAAATCAGAATCCAGTCAAGATTTATGTATTGTATGTGGGTGCTGTAATGCTTTAGCCTTAATCTAGAACTGCACCCCATCTATTTCCCCCATAACACTGACATTTTGAAGAATTTTTAATCTAATGTAGCTTTGGAAAAAGCCGCCTCTTCCCACTTTTTTTTTTTTTTAACCAGGAGTTAGTATAAAAACAAATTTAACGTTTTTGAAGAAATATTTAACAGTGTATTTCCAATCATGTGTAAGCCTTTTCAAATGCAACTTGTACCCTTGCCATGATTTGCTAGTTAAATCCATCCCACTTAGCACATGAAGAGTTTAGCATTTAATCTTGGGAGTGGAGTATATTCGTTAGTGGCCCCAGCTGGCAACACAAGCTGCCTACCTTTAATAAAGTGTTGCTGCTATTTTGCCTTTAGTTGAAGCTGATGCAATGTAGTCTGTATTAAAGTGCACTGATGTCAGCATAGTTTCATGAGTTTCAACTCCTGGCACCCTGCAGTTTGTTGATGAAAGATGCGTGGGCCCTGCAATTCAAATACAGATGACTCTTGTTATTAAAGCATATATCTAGGTAACTGTTACCTATCTGGCCACAATTCAAGTAATTTTTTTTTTTCCCTGAAATTTTCTTGCAAGTTCTAATTGGCCCTGATGTTTCTGTGATTGTTTTTTGGTATCATTAACCAGAACCTGTTAAAAATTGCAAAATCAAGATTATACTTAACACTTAGGTCATAAGGAACAGTCTGTAACCAATGGATAGGAAACTGTTTGTGGGATTTATTTTGTGATTAGAAGAGGAAAACTAAAATTACCAAGCTCATATATTCCTCCTGTCATAGACATATTTCATCAAAAAGGTAAGTGAAAGAAAGAAAATGCATTTAAGGAAGCAGAAGAAAATGGTCTTGGAATGCAAAATTGGTTAAAGTTTTTCCTGATTTCTAGAGAGCTTTAGAAAAATCTGTATTTTTTATAATAGGCCAACAGATTTTGATGTTTCTAGCATCATATGTAGTTACATAATATACTCTTTATCAATTGCTTTCTTTGGGTAGAAAGAAATTTGTTTATGTGAAACTGTGGAACAACTTTGTTTTGCTCTTTGAGAATAAGGCTCACTCTTTTGCTCAGGCTGCATTTGAAGTCTTGGGTTCAAATCCAGTAATCCTCCCATCTTAGCCTCCCAGGTATTTGGGATTTCATGCACCACTCTACCTGCCTATATAAAACAATTTTAAATTAACTCTAGATTTAAGGAAGGCAAAATAACATACCAATTAAGACTCGGTCTAAAGACAAAAAGATAGACTAGTACTACAGTACTGTTAGACAAGAAGGGAAGAGAGGAATAAGAAACAGGATGAATATCAAAATATATTGAAGCTTAATTTTTCTTTTAAAGTTAGTACGCATCTAAACAATTGCTAAAACAGGGGGCTGGGGATTTAGCTCAGCGGCAAAAGCGCCTGCCTGGCAAGCGCAATGTCGTGAGTTTGGTTCCTGGTACCGGAGAAAAACCAAAAAAAAAAAAAAAAAAACAATTGCTAAAACAAAAAAGTAGGTATTAAAATCATGCCTGCATTTCAGGAACAGTACATTTACTAGCTGGGTGACCATGAACAGTTTACTCATTTTCTTTTTTTTTGGGGGGGGGGGCGTGGTTTTCTCCAGTACCGGGAACCGAACTCCCGACCTTGCGCTTGCCAGGCAGGCGCTTTTGCCACTGAGCTAAATCCCCAGCCCCAGTTTACTCATTTTCTATTAAAAGCATCTTAGGGGCTGGGGATTTAGCTTAGCAGCACAGCACCTGCCTGGCAGGCATGAGGTCATGAGTTCGATTCCTAGTACCAGAAAAAAACCTAAATAAATAAATAAATAAATAAAAGCATCCTTAAAACTTCCTAAGATTATTGAACAGAATTAATTCTAACATATATAAGGTGCTTTGGCTTATTTTATAGCACATGGAATGTGATGAAAATATGGTTGCTATCAATAATAATTTCTGAAGCAGTCCAATTTGGACACAGGGTAGGCATTAAGTATTTTAGTGAATGAATGAATCTAAGAAAATTCTCCAAATTTAATATAAGGAATTTAAAGATTTTGATTCAGTGTGCTATTTAGAGGGCTTTAGGAAAATTTGTATTTTTAATAATAGCCTAATGATTTTTTATGCAGGTAGTTGAGAACCAGGATTTGAGGAGTGTGTAAAATATCCAACAGTTCTCTTTATGTATGTTGGAAGTAGCTAAGTAAGTATCTCAAGTGTGGAGCAAATACTTTTTCTAAAAGCTAATAAACAGCATTTTTAAGACCACTGTCTAGGATTAAATTTTGAAACAGAGGTTTAGAAAAAAGCATTTTGCATAAGTGGAATATGTGATTTTCTACTAACTTAATGTGTGCTACTGCAGTATACCAAAGCCGCCAACAACAACAAAATTCACCCAAGTACAGTTCCTGTTATAAGGCCTAGGCACACTTCAGAAACTAGACCCTGCACATTTTATTCACATGAGTCTGAATTAATTAGCCAAATTGAGCATGTTGCAGCGTTTTTCTACCAGCAGATGCCAGATAGCAAAGCAGAATAGAATCTACTATAGTCTCCAACTATATGACATATGTTAGTTGGCATCTCCAGATGAACACTATCAATCCATATTAAGCACTCTGCTAGCATGTGGGCAGTTGCTCGAGTGAGAGTGAACATTATTACTACTTTGTGTCTGTTGAAAAACGCATTCTTTCTGGCCTCCCCGTTTCACCTTTTTTCCATATTTATATTTCAGAATCTGCGTTTTTAAAATTTCATCTATCAGTCAACCTCAAGTCTTGTATAAGACAAAAGTTGATTTTCTATTATTAGTTATGTAGCCCACATAGCTAACTTAGCAAGTACTCACAAAAGAAAGATATCTTTTGTTGTCCATTACATAAATAGGATTGCTCTGGTGCCTTCTTTAATTACCAGGGACTGTATTCTTATTTCTCAGTGCCTACCAGGCCAGGCATATGCTTACAGTCCTAGCTACTTGGGAGGCTAAGATAGGAGGACCTTGTGAGCTAAGGAGTTAAGAGACTAGCCTAGGCAGTGATAGCCAGACTCCATCTCAAAAAAAACAGAAGAAATTCCAAGTGTCCTAAATGGCTAGGCATGTAAAGGGAAACAGTATACAGTAGTGAGAGCGAAAGATTTTTAGAGCACATGCTTACCCAATGAGCATAACTTCCCAGCCTTAGCTGTATTTTGCTGTGTGGGAATGTATACTTGGTATGGAGCTAAAATTTGGATTTTATATGAAATCTCCAGGCTTTTAAACGTTGACTCAAATACTTTTTAAACATCTATGAAGCCAGTAAAACATTTAACTGGATGGGACCATGGGCCACCAGTTTATGATCTCTATATTTGTACATGAAAATACGATTGGCCCTCTGGTTGAGAATCTCAAAATGCATTAAAAGTCTTTTCTTTTTTGCCCTGTTTCAGGTTCTATGACTTACCTAGGCTAACCAGAAACAACAAAAAAGGCATCCAGTGTTTTTCAAACTTGAGTTCTACTATGAAATAGATTTGCCTTATATTTTCAAAAACCAATTTAAGGACACAATTTGGCAGTACATGCTGGGTTTTTTGTTTGTTTTGTGATTGGTTTGTTTTTTTCAATGTACTAGGAGTTGAACCAGGGCCTTCACACAGTTATATCCATAGCCCACTTAATACTGTATTTTGAGACAAAGTCACTGAGTTGCTCAGGTTGAGCTTGAACTTGCAGTCTTCCAGCCTCAGCCTTCCAGACTGCTGGGATAATAGACATGTAACACCATACCTGGCTCTGCTTTCTTATTTTCATATAGGTTCTCACTAAATCACTAAGCTGACCAAGCTGGGCTCAGACTTGGGACCTCCTGCCTAAGCCTTCCCAGTGCTGGAATTACAAGCATGCACCACCAAGCCTGATCTATGCTATTTTAAATAAAACAGGTTTTTAAAGAAAAATACTGTCAAATAGATCATGCTGTCCTACCGGCAACATAGTGTTTGTAAAGGTTCAAATTATTTTAAGAGGTTGAAGATACCCTTATACTCTAGAACAAGTCCTTTGTCATATATAATGCTATGAAAATGTTTGTATTTATTATTCTGTACTTCTACACACTTTTATAGTCACTTGAACCTTGCAACCAAGGACAGACGAAAACATGGTTTTTATGAAGAAATCAAGCCTCTGGTTGGATAAATGTATTGCAGGTCACATAGTTACTTGTTATCAGTGTTGTCAGAGTACAGCATTATACCCCATTTAAAGTATGAACATGAAGAGTACAACTACTTAGCAGCAGACCTACAACCCTGTACCCTAAAATTCAAATATGAAATAAATTGATCAGAACCACAAAATCTGCACTCCAAGCCCCTTTATTAGCACCATACATTACTATCATAGCTTATTTTAAACACTTAGAGCCTTAGAATACTTTGCCGCAATCCATTTCAGACTCAGAGTTTCAGACAACTAGGATAAGCTGATGAGTTTAGATAAATTCATGGAGGGGAAAAAGTAATGACAGTGGAGACCTAATAACAGGTTAGTAGTAGAAGGCACATAATAATAAAGAGAGTAACAGCATTTACTCATGCAAAAATCAAATATTGGAAGACAGTGGAACCTATGAGGACAGTGTTTTGAAACAGATCCGATCCTGTCCTGAACATTTTTAGAAACCAAGAGTTACCTTTACCATTCACACTGTCTTTTATGTTGGATTGCAGTTTGGATTTTCATCTTCTTGTCCCCTTCTCTGTCTGCCTGTTGTATGATCATAGCCTGCATTTTTTTGGGTGGCTAGAGAAAAACTGTGTGATCTAAAGCTAATAGTTATGTTCAGCTATTTAATGTATGATCAATCAGTGCTCCCATTTGAACTGTGACATAAGATCTCATCATCTGATATATTATGATGAAGAAAATAGGGTTTTTTTTTGAAATATTGTATATTTCTAATTAAGCTTCAGTCTTCAAAGTTGTATTTTTTAAAATAATAATTACTGTGGTGGTGCACACCAGTAATCACAGCTACTCAAGAGGCTGAGACAGGAAAATTGCAAATCTAAGGTCAGTCTGTGTAATTTAGCAAGACCCAAAATAAAATATAAAAAGGGCTGAAGCTGTAGCTCAAAGATCCCTATTTAATTCCCATACCACAAACAGTAATACTACTTAGGGCTGGAAACATAGCTCAGTGGTACAGCACTTTCTTAGTATGCATGAGGCCTGGGGTTTGATCCACAGCACCATGAAAAAAATCTCAATGGCATAAACAAAAATCCATGGTCAAAACTTATTTTCTCCTAAACCAGGCATGGTGACACATGCCTGTAATCCCAGCACTTGGGAAGCAGAGGCAGGAGTACTGCTGTGAGTTTGAAGCCAACCTAGGCTACAAAGTGAGTTCAAGGCCAGCTTGAACTGTATAATGAAAGCCTGTCTCAAAAAAGACCAAGAAAAAAAAAAATTCTCCTAAAAGAGTGCCTTCAGAGTAGTAATAAATGTGACAGGTGATTGGACTGGCTCCTACTCATCATAGTCTGCTTTCTCACCTAACACCTTCTCAGATGTTGCTGTTCCTTCAGTGGGCTCTGCACTGTCTCCTTCCAGGCCAGTCTTCCAGAGGCAACAGTATTATTAAATTAACATGTCCATATAGTTGAAGTACATACATTACTTTGTATTAAACGTTGTGTTGTTGCTAAACTAAAATTTAGGAGCCATTAGGTGAGACTAGAAGAAAGCAGCCAAGGCAGATGTTTGAGCATTTCCATGTATCTTCCTTTACTGTGGATACTATCAGGTTTTTTGAGTTTTCTCCCATTTCAAGAAACATAAAACATGTACTTGCATCCACAAAAGCAGTTTTAGCTTGTCACTTCTTTAATGAGATCATTAATTTTCCTGTTGAAAGTACCCTCCCACAGCATTCCTAAACCTTCTTAAAATGATCTTATCTTTCTATAGTACTACCTTCTAGCATTGTTGTTTCTCCCGCCTTACACTAGGCCAGAGGTAGCAAACCTATGGCGTGTGTGCTGCAAGTTTTTATCACTGAAAATTCTAAAAGGTTTGCCATCATTGCACTAGGCTATAAGCTCTGAAGAGCAAAGGTTTTACTGTTTTTTGTTCATTGAGAACAGTGTCTAACGCATCGTAGGCATTTGTGAAATTATTAAATGGAATGGCCATGGCATTTGTATAATCAACATGTTTCAGCCATGGCTATTATCTTTCCTTCGACAGTCCCTGGTTTTCTGTGCGTCTCGTCTGACCACTGAGAAGGTACTCTTGAAACCACAGCTACTTAGGGCCCATTACACCAGACAAAACACCCATGTTTGGCTAATAGCAGGCCACCTGAAAAAAGAAAATAAATGTTCCTTCCTACTCTGGACTCTCAAAGCAGTCAATTATCAAGACAGTGTAGCCAGGATAGTGCCAGCTGTCCAACCACCAGCTTGCTTATTTTAGCCCTTCCCTTCCTGTTTCTCTCCTGTCAGTGCCTAAGGGGGCCTAGTAAAGCAGGAACCATGTAAGCAAGTGACGGCACTGATCTTCCATACACCAGGTCCAGCCTCTACCAGTCCTTTGGCTCCACACCCTTTCCACTAACAATGGCAGCTTAGTCAAAAATCTGAGGTTTGGTAGAGCACCAAGTTTCATTGTTTTCCTCAGGCCAGACTTCTGATGTGAGAGATACAGACTAAGCACAAACAAAAGGTAGTGATTTAAACAGCTATTTAAACAGTCAAAAGCTTTAGCATTTAGGCAATACACATAAAAATCCTTAGCTCGTGTACTTTACCTTATCTGTAATTTATATCCCTTTTATTGGCATGTCAGAATTTATACCAAATATTTTCATTTTTAAATCTTTAATGGAGAGGCTAGGTGTTGTTTTGATAGCTACCACCAAAGCGAATCAAGGTCTGCAGTGTTACTGTTCAACCTAACCTGGAAGGAAAATAAAAATTATCAGGTATCACTGGCAGGACTAAGTAGCAAGGAGGAAAGAATGTGGTAGGAGAAACTATACGTGGTAAGAAAATCGTATATTGTATTTACCATCACAGTCCCTGTAATGAGTTGCTTTATTCCAGGCTTATTTCCTACTGCATCTCTCCCTGATGGAGCACTATAGGGATAAAGTGTGATGACAGACTTCTGGAAAGCAGATAGAGGTTCCTGAGGAAATTGGTCCACAATAATTTGAACAAGGGGAGAAGCTTGGAAGATACAGAGTAGTAAGCTTTTATTAGCAGTGTCACAGCAGTGCTGCAGGAATGACAGAGGAGCAGCTTCCCTTGATTAAAATTAGTCTGAGGTGGGTGGGAAGGCAGGCGCTATGCCAGCATCACCACGTTATAAATAATAAATCTTTCTCCTGTGGGGTGCTGTTGTGAAAGACGTATGGTAAGGTTGCATCAGTATGATGAAACATCACAGGTGGGACTGTGTGGAAAAGCATGTTTTTAGAAAGGGACCATTCTGCCTCCTCATCCAGAACACCGAGTACCAGCAATCCAGGAACAAAGGTCACTGACCAAAGATGGCAGGTAAGCTAGGACACACATAACAGAATACTCAAGAAAGATGGCTTTTCACAGGTAGTCTGTATTACAGGGAAATAGTAAACTAAAAGCGTGTGCTGTTTCTATTACCAGTTTACCCACTGTGTTGCCTCCTTACAGACTGTAGCTGTGCAGGCACTTTTAGTAAGCTTTTTGTTTGCAAAGAGTAAAAGTAGAAACCAGTTGTTAGCTACTGAGAAAAACGGGAATGTTAGGAAATGTTTGCTAAAACCTTCTTTTCCTAACTACCTCACCCACGTGTCAATTACTGGTTTTTTTAAAATATCTGTCTGCAGGAAAGATACTATCCGTGAACAAAGATGGCTGCATTATAAATGTATTTTCTTCACATGATATTTATAAATAATCTTCACCTAAAAAGGCAAGTTTTTTCCTGGGAGGGGAAAAATTTAGAATACTCAGCCTTCATTAATACCAGAGATTAATAAAAATTTATAGATGCTTATATAATCTGAACCATGATTCAATAAAAAATAACCACAGGAAATTAAGGGGAAAGTTATACAAGGATAGTTTACTTTCTATAAGAAATCTGGTTTCACTTAAACTATGATGGAAATGTCTCCACTAATATGTTTTGGGAATTTTTGAGTAACATTAACAATTTCTCGTTGAAGGAAAACATTGTACTGGCAACATGGCAGATGTGAAAATGTTCCGGGAGGTTCTTCCAAAACAAGGTATCTGTATCATCAATATGTGGGTCATAGAACAGAACAGAAACCTATGAAGTGATGGTGTCACATAGCAGGCACTTAATAGCACCAAATCCGCAGGCTGTGTTCTCTACACATTTGCTTCTAAGTAATAAATAATACTCTTATTTACTGTCCTTTTCTAATGTGCACTTTTGTCTTGAATAGCTTATAAAAGAGATGCTCACTTTTTTCCCCTGGTAAAAGAATAACAAATGGAACATCATTTCTTGTACCTAGAAATCCTGTTAAAGCCAAGAATGCAGATTACAATATGAAATTGTTAATGAAAGTAATAACCTCTGAAAATGGGGGAGAAGGTATCTAAATCAATAGTAAGAAAAGCTGAAGGTTTAGTAATTTGAATATTCATGTTAAATTAATACCATACCGTGCTTTACTTTTGTGCATTATATATTCTCCCAAACTATAGTTCAATTTAAGCATCTGACACAAAAGTTGCACTTACGGCAGTTTGAGTCCTCATACAAAGTTCCAAGTTTGTCTTCCTTAACATTCCAGAACTGCATTTGCTTAGAAGGTGGCTATGATCATTCTGGTCCTGAGCAGAATTCAGTCCAACAGCAAGAGTTTTTCCACTGACAACAGATTTAAATTTTTTAAACTTTCATTCTAGCTCCATACCCAAGCTACAAAATGACTGAGTTATTTTCACTGAATTTTTATTTCTTGTTAAACTTAGGGCAACTGTCGGTGGAAGACATAACCACAATGGTGCTGTGTAAACCCAAACTTTTACCCTTAAAATCTCTGACTCTGGAAAAACTGGAGAAAATGCAGCAAGCAGCACAGGATATCATTCGCCAACAGAAAACGGCAGAAGAGGAAAAACGGGAAAAAGCTCACTGACCAATAAACTTAGCACTTCAGAAAGCA